AGGAGGGATCCTAGGGGCAGATAAAAATAGAACTGGAGCGAAGCAGGAGAACGAATGAGTGAAGGAGAAAGAGACAGAATAGAGATGGCAATGGACGAGAGGAGAAGGGGGGAGAGAAGAACAAGTGAGTGAATGAGAGAAGAGCAGTAAGAGCGAGAGTAGCACAAAGTCAAAAGTGAAAAGGGAGCAGAATCCCTGGTTATTTTTAAACCTCCCCCGTGTTAAGAATGAAACACTCCGTGGCAGAAAAGCCTCAATGGGCGCAGGCGGTACCAAATCAGGCTCTTGTTGCAGATGCAGGTGGGGGCAAACAGAGGCAGGGAAACGCTACAGTCGCTGCAAAGTAAAATGGCTGTGTGTAGCTTTTTCCTAATATAATATTGTGGAGTGAATATGGCTTATTTGTTTATGAACTACAGGGATCCTATTTTACACAAAAAACTAACACATATACCAGAATACGACTGGAAATATTACATATAATGGCTTTATATTTATGCATTTCCAGGGACTGTAAAAATCTTTACATTTCTCTTTCGTGTAACAATCATCCAGGTTTTAAGTTTCCTGATTAGCATTAAGGAAATACCTTCTGTGACTCTTTTTCAAACTAAGAGTACAGGCCACGTCAGCTAAAATGAGGAACTAGAAGAGGAAAACACAAAAAGCATGAAATGCAATAAGGAGTCTCAGTGCACCGACCACATTCCTGTCAAATGGGACAATAAAATTTACCCTACAGATAGCCCCCCCCGCCCCTTCCACAGGCACCTGAGGGGCATGTAAATCCTCTGCATGACTGAGTTTCAGGTGCAGAGAATTGCACCTGGTGTGAGAATGTGTTTTGTGCCAAAATGCACGTAGAGCATCACCGTTTCAACTTTAACCTGACAGAGGATGACGTGCAAGAATGTATTGTGTGCTTAGAATGCAGGTGGAGCGTGACATTTTGAACTTTAACATGACAGTCAAGAACATATGATACTTGACAGACTGTAGACGTGTTCAGGCTATGCATGCGATGCATTTTAGGAATACAACATGTCAATTTTAACTCTGTTCTAGCTTTTGAGTCTGAATTCTACCAAAAAAAAAAAAAGGGATGAAAGGCCACTATTGGATTATTACCAGACAACTCCTCCTATTAGCCAAGTGTGCTGCATTTCAAATGGTAGACCTTCATTCAAAAACTGCAATTTGAATTAATGGCGATTCTGCTGTCAACCAATCAGGGCTGTGGGTCTTTACACTAATTAATAATATTTTATCATTAAAAGAACATCCTTATTCTGGGAGGGCAAAAGAATATTGGAAATCTAAGTAAAGCGTGTAATATAAGCATAACAATATGCCCATTTTCTGTATTTGAATTGTGATTTTCCACTGTGCATTTGTCTACCACCTACCCCTTTCCCCAGGCCTAATGCCCCCTCCCCACACTCCCAAAAATCCTCGTGCTGTACTTCTCAATGATTACACTCCTCCCACTCATTATATAATAGTACCATTTTCTCAATAAATGTTGTCTAGGGAGTGAGTGAGAGTGAAGTGTGTGTTATGTGCATTATGGGGGGTAAGTAAAGGGGGGTTAGGACACAGTGTTCCTCTCAAGTCTTAAGACCCTTACTTTTTGCTTTTGAGTTGCTATCAGCCATCATTAGTGCACCGAATACAAGAACAAAGAAAATATTCTGGTAGATGCTAAGCCTAGTAACCTATAATAGTTTATTTATTTATGGGAAAGGACAATAATAAATTATCAGCCACGGCTGAAATACAACAGAATGACGTTTGAGGCCAATAAATTGTTGACCCTTTAGTGATTAACTTACACTGGACAGTGCAGCAACAAGAAAATAAAAAAGTAATGTATTCAACTCTTTCACTTATTTACAAGCAGAAAACAATGTTCAAAAATACCATTGTTCAGTTAAGTCACAAATACACACCCCAGTGCTCCCAGCAGGACTTAATTCCCCTCACGTGAGCAACGCATTACATCTGACACAAATGTAATGTAACAAAAAAGGTCTACGCAAGCAAGCACGTGACTGACAGCAGTGGTATGGCCGCTCAGAAGACGCACACGCAGTGACAACTAAAAGTGAATCTGTGTTGATAGGGCAACCATGTGTGATGTGTGCAATGAAAAAACAGAAAAGGCAATCTGGGAGAGGCCATGGAAGAGGAGTGTGAGAATCCATGAATGTATTTATGTGTGTGTTGGCAGAGGGGATGTGTGCACTGCTGCCTCTCATTCACTCCCAGCAACACTGCTCTGAACCCAGTTTCCCCCATTCCAACACCTCTGAGAAAACTGGCCTAGCATGCTGGCTCTGAAGCGCCCGGACGGGGGCGCATTTGCACCACAGTGCTTAATGCTGCACATCACGTCCAGAGGTATTGACATCCCCCAGCCTTTTCTGTCTCTCTCCCTCTCTCCCTCCCTCCCTCCCTTCTCAGCAGTGGAGCAGCCCCTGTCGCTGCCTGCTCACTATTCCGAGGGTCTAAAAAAAGCAGCAGGAGGAGTAAAAATAGCAGCGCGCCTGCACTGCCTCGTCTGGGAGCTGCCTGCCTGCCTGCCGCAGCACTTGAATACCAACAAGATCCCCCACCACCATCACCACGACGACCAGGCTGCTGCTGCATCCTCAGCCCTCCACCTAAAACCCAGATGCCAGCATGAGCACTGCAGGCTGGAAAAAAAAACCCACAGAACATCTGATCTGATGATCAGTGGAAAGAGAACAGGGCAACCACAAAGCCCTGACTGCTGTTACTTACGAAGAATCTTTGATTCAGATTAACATGGACATCATGAAACGGCTCATGCGTGAGGATGAGCCTCTCATATAAACCTAAAATCTTAATGAATATGGAGATTCAGATTTGACTATTCTCTCTCAAGATGAAGGTGCACTGATTAGTAAACTAAGCTGATCTAGTGTTTAGTTGTAGAGAAAGCTGGTATGGTTTTGATTGGTTACCCACAGGGTGAGGGTTTTTCTTTTAAAGATTAAAATTCCTATGCAAAGAGAGAGCGAGACACAACTAAAATGAGTGTAACCCCCCCCCCCCCCCACCCCCAC